GGGGCCGGGAGGGGGGCATAGAGTTTCCCTGGTGTTGACCAGAGTGGCCACCAGGGAAACCTGGGGAGGGCTAGCCTCCCACTAGTTCGAATTAAGGGGCTACACACCCCTTAATTCGAACTAGTAAGTTCGAACTAGGCTTAATCCTCGTAAAATGAGGTTTTCCTAGTTCGAACTAAGCGCTCCACTAGTTCGATTTAAATTCGAACTAGCGGAGCGCTAGTGTAGCACCTATGAATGTTAGTTCGAACTAACGTCCGTTAGTTCGAACTAACATTGTAGTGTAGACATACCCTTACTGTTTTAAAAACCAGTGGGGGATTTCTTCTTTAGAATCCGTAATATTAATTTTCAGATCAGTGTAGATTTAGTCATGTGAGAAGAGCTGTGCACATTGGTAACTGGAAAGTAGTTTGAGTTCAAACTGAAAACAATTATTTTTAAATTTTTGATTACTCAAAAAGTGAAAATAAATAATTTCAGCACAGTCAAAATGTTTTATGTGACACATGCTGCTTCATTTTTCTCAGCATTTTAAAGATTTTTAAATATTGTAAATAAGACGGAAAAGCGTTTCAAAATAAACAAACTGTTTTACAGAATTTTTCTTCCAAACAAAACATTAAGGTGAAATTGACAAGAGTTCCCAAGTATTTTGAGTTCACATTTTTTGCCCAAATAAACAGTATGTCGGTTGTACTGTGCATTGATCATGTTTATCTAGACATGCATGTCCGAGGTACAAAAAACTGGGATCACTTAACCTTTTCATCTGGAGCAGCTACCTCAAAAAAAGGACAATCCTGGGAAACCCTGAACAGAGCACAACCCTACTGATTGTGCCACATGCCATATAGTGGGGATGGAGGTGGGAGGGCTGGAGTACCAGCGTGAACTCCCCAGTGCTGGGGTTAGGAGCCCTGAGACTTGGGGGACCGGATGTCCCGGGCCTTAGGTTCCCCATCCCTGAGATAAAAGCTCAGCAGGGTACCTGATGAGGAAGGAGAGCAGATCTCTGGCTCTGAGTCAGGGAAAGAAGACTGGCTGCATCTAAGTGTGCCATTTCGGGTGCGTAGGGGGGCAGCAGCCGTGCGCTCGGAGATGCGGCTAGCTTTTCATCCCATTCCCCAGTTGCTAAGGGAGTGAATAGAAAGTGCTTGCATTCCTCTCCCACCTGGCTGGTGAGTTCCTTTCACCAGCCAGGTGTGAGAGGCATGCACAGAATCCAAGTACTTTCCTCTCACTCCCTTAGCATCCCGAAATGGCACACTTGGCTGCATCCAGGTAACTGTTGGCCTTCTGGCAGGGAGAGAATCCCTGCAGGAAATCAGGTCAATCTGCAGCTGGGAGCCGGAGGCAGTTGTGAAGGCAAGCTAGAGGAAATGAGTTTCCCAGGATCATGTGCTGGTTGAGGGACAGGAAAACTCCCACAGGGTCAGAGACTGCCCTGCCAGCAGTATAAAGAAACTCTCCTGCAGCAGAGATACATCAGTGCTAGAAAATGTGTAGAAGGGGTCTAGAGCAGTGGTTCTTAATGTGTGGTCCATGACCATCTTGCAGATGGGCCATGGGCTTGCTGCAGTGGGGAGCCTGTGTTGGTGCTCCAGCCCTGCTCTCCCACCACCATGAGGTTGGAGCACCAGCGCTGGCTTCCCGCTGTGAGGGAGAAAGGAGGCTTATGGGCCAGATCCCCAGCTCATGGGAGGAGGAAGTGGCTCTGTGAATGGCCACTCCCCATTCTCCTGCCTGGGGAAAAGGCAGTGCAGGAAACTGGAGTCTTTCCCAGATGCTAACAATGGCCAGAATAATGGCCAATTGGAGCAGTGTGGTGGGGGAGGGAACGGGGGGACAGTGCCTGGGAGTGGCAGGAGGAACAGAACCAGGTAAGTGCCCGCATCTCCCTCATGCCCAGATCTACACCCTCATTCCCCTCACACTACAGATGTGAAGGTCTAGTCAACTAGTCGCTTTTCCCCTCCCCCACTTTCTGCCTCTCTCAGATAGAGGCAGCAAGGCGGGGGGAGGGTAAGGGGAGTACTTCAAAGCGGTAGCTCCTCTTGAAGCCTGAGGCCAGACCTCAGGCTCCAAGCAGCGCTGCCACTTTGTAAAGCCGCATGCATCCTGGGGCCAGCTGGGGTGTCCCCAGGCTGCATGTGGCATTTCAAAGTGGCTGAGCTACGTGGAGCCTGGGATCAGCTGGGGACTCCTCAGTTGACCCTAAGCTCAGTGCAGCGTTGCTGCTTTGAAATGCCGTGGGGAGCCCAGTGTCAGGCGCCTCACAGCATTTCAAAGCAGCAGACTCCCCAGCTGACCCTGGGCTCAATGCCGCCGCTTTGAAAAGCCCTAGGGCTGTTGCTACACTTCAGAGGCAGAGGTGTCCTATCGACTAATCGAACAGTTGATGCAAAATGCATCGACTGTTCGATTAGTCAATTACCCGATACTTGACATCCTTACCTCACACATATCCCTCCCGCCAAGATGCTACATCTCCACCCTGCTTGTGCACTCTCCCTTCCAGGCTCCTCCTACATTCATTTTGTCACCATAGGTGGTTGGTAGTATGGAAAGGTCTGCATTGAGCAGGGTCAATGGGCCAAAACGTTTGAGAACCACTGGTCTAGAGAGAGAGAGGCTAATAGACAATAAGCGTTGGGCAAGGCTTTAGGAATGGCTCAAGACAGGTTGAGAAAGAAAGTGGTTCAAGGAGGCAGCAGGGAGTCTGTGTAGACACATCTTGGCTACTTATTAAAGGTCCCTGAACTGGAACCCAGAGGTGAGAGAGGTTCAAAAAAGGTATGTGGAAATCCCTCTGCTGCAAGGGTTAAGGGATAGTGAGTCTGGAGATGGGCTGAAAACCCAATGCGACTTTCATGAACTGTTGTTTGCTAGACTCTTGGGTTATGCCAAAGAGCATGGGTCTGTGTATGCTTCAGCAAGAGGGCTGAGTCACAAGAAGAGGCGGAGCATGTAAAAAGGCCATCTGTCAAGAGGCAAGAGAGGGAAAATCCTGCAACGTCCTATCTGGCCACAAAGGTTGCTTTAGTGGTGAGTCACACTCTTAACAGCAAGAAATACAGATCACGTAAACTTCAACTTTCTGAGACTTTTTTATAGAGTATATCTTCCAGAAAGTTGTTTCCTGATACTGTCTATCCCACCTCCAATCAGGAAAGAATTAGGAAAAAATCCTTTAATACTTTACATTTTCATATAGAAACCCAAATATTTTAAAATTAATGCATATAGAACTGGTCATGCTTTTTGTTCACTGTGAAATGTCAGCTGAATCCTGAAACTCTGCTGTCCATAAATACAAGTAATATCAACTATCTGGTAAACTAAAAGGGCCATGAAAGGACTGACATTGTGAGGGTGTGGATTTCAAAGAACTTTTCCATATATGGCCAAATTCTAGTCCTCCTGAAGTCAATGGGATTTGTGCTAATAAGCCCCAAAAGATGACAATTTGGCTAAAAATGAATTGAATGTAACTTGAAAGCCTTATGTATGTCTTGCCTTTTTGTTAAAATATTCTTCTTCTATGGAATATTCATAGACTGGAGAGGATCCTTGTGGCCTTGGTCGTATGTTTTCTATTGTCACTTCATTTGCCTGCAGGAAAGAAATGAAAAATAATGGTCATTATTAAACAACAGTAATCCGTATAGTTTGGGAGAACTTTTCTATTTAAGCCACAAATATAATGTAAAAACCCTCTCTTTGTGCCTGTAACGGTGACTGCAAAATGGCCATTTATCATTTCCTTTTGGAGCAAATGTAATTTCCATTTAAGAATGTGATGTGAACAAGAGAGGACATAATTCTTGAAAACAAATGATGCTTTCACAATGTCTTTCTTAACTACGAACGCATTTAAAATCCAGGTAGATTAATCCAGCAATGGGCAACCTAGGTTAGTGAGAGGGCCACACTAGTGTCCCACCTTCATCTAGGTGGGCAGCAAGATTGTCGTAACCAAGACGGTCTCCCAGGATAGGGTAGTTTTGCTAACTGTGCTTGCGTACCTAGAATTTGCGGTGTGGGCCAATTGAAGTGTATCAGTGCTTTGATTGGATGCAGAGGGAGCATCCAGCTCTCACTGTCAAGGTTGAATGCAAATGGCACACACCTCACATTACATGTCCTTGCTTTATGTGCATGTCACTTTAGTCACACCAGTAGAAAAAACCTACGTGGACGGAAACCAGCTGAATCTGGTAACTCTGCATGTGGGCAACAGTAAACAAAATGTCTTGTGGGCCACACATAGAATACTAATGGGCCACAAGTGGCCTGTAGGCCACAAAATGCCCACCACTGAATTAGATAGAAATAGTGGTCACCAGAGATTGTGATGACCGTGCTCTCTTGATTTAGGACTAAATTATGTCCCCAATAACCTCAGATGTACAGTGGAGCCACATGGCATTTAGAGTTCCTAGGAGGAATTCTGGCTGACCCGGGAATTCTGGGTCTTTTAGAGTGCATCTACACTGCACCTTTAGCTCAAAATAAGCTACGCAATTTGATCTATGCAAAATGTGTAGCTTATTTTGAGTGTATTTTGAAATAAACCACTATTCTGAAACATCCCTTAATCCTTGTGGAATAAGGTTTACAGGGACACCAGAATAGCGTGCCCGTTATTTAGAAACATATTTCAAAATAACGGGTGCACTGTCAAGGCGTGGAATAGCTATAATAGTGCCACAATGTAGATGTACCGTCAGGGCATGTCTACATATTATTCCTCTTCACAAGTTGGAGTTATTTTGAAATAACAGGTTTGGAAGTGTGGATGCTCACCTTGTTATTTCGAAATAAAGGGAGTTATTTAGAAAGTTATTTCTACTGGTGTAATTCCCTTTATTTCAAAATAACAAGGTGAGCATCCACACTTCCAAACCTGTTATTTCGAAATAACTCCTGCTTGTGAAGAGGAATAATCTTATTTCAAAATAGTTATTTCAGGAGCTATTATTTCAAAATAACTTATTTTGAAATAATCTTGTAGTGTAGACATAGTCTTAGACAGCTCATGCCAGTGGACACATTAAGCCATCCTTGAAATACAAATTAAATCACTGAGAAAATAAGAATTTGCTATACCTTGGAATATAACTTTTACTGGCATGGTTCAATTATCTGAGGGCATGTCTACACAGCAGTGTTATTTCGAAATAACAGATTGCGCATCTACACAGCAAACCCGTTATTTCAAAATAATTTTGAAATAATGGGCTTCTTACTCCAACTTCTGTAACCCTCATTTCATGGGGAGTAAGGGAAGTCAAAGGAAGAGTGTTCTTCCTTTAAGAGTTTTCTTCCTTTGACTTCCTCCTGTGTAGACAGCACCTAAAGCCAAGTTAAGCTACTTCGACTTCAACTGCTCAATTAACTTAGCTGAAACTGCGTATCTTAACTCGACTTTGTCCTGTAGTGTAGACATACCCCGAGAGGGAAAAGCCCTTCCTTAAATGCATAGAGCTACGCTCCAATGCATGTTACATTGCATCATATCATGTTCTGTCCTTCAAATTCTGTATATCTGAAGATCAGGCTATCAATAGGCCAACCCAACTCTCAGGATGTCTCCTTCGCAGTAGTAATACTAGATACATCCTTGTGGAAAAAACTGTAAATAAAAATATTAATGATCAAACTTTCAGAAGTAAATGGCAACATTACTCACAGAATCATCTTCTTCTGCATCAGCTTCAGCTTCTTGCTCCTCTGGTCTCAGCTGTGTGCCAGAACCTGCAAACAACATACAAGCCATCACTCTAGATGCTGCTCTGTCAGCTCAGTTAACAGAGCAGTGAATTTTACAAATATAAAGTTTACAGAGCGGCAGGGTTATGGAAAGTCACCGAATGGCCTCCTATCCTTCAAAGCAAATCTTTATGTCAGGGTTTCTCAAATTTCATCCTGCTAGTCTGCCCAAAGGTACAAAGAATAGTCACACGCCACGGATACCTAAGTTGTAAAGAAGAAAGAAATCCCAAACTTGGAAAAAATATATTACAAGCTCACAGGAATCTTTTGTATTAATGGAAGCGGTTGTGGCCTAATGGCTAGCAAGAGGCTCTCAGGATCTCTGAGTTCTATTCCACTCTTCAATTGACTTGCAGACTCCAAGAGACAGGAAAGCATACAGCAGTCAGGTAGTCTGAAATAATAGTTCCTGAAATGTGGGAATTGACTCTTGTCACAAGTGTTAATCCTGAAGCATAATGATGGCTTTAACTATTTGACACCAATCATTTTTATCTGAAGCATCTAGCTATGTTCTTAACCATAACTGATAGGAATATTGGGGATGGGGGTAAGGGTAGGTTGCTGTGGTAGGAAACTCGGAGCTCCACTTTCCAAGGTGTTCAAGTCAACGCTGCCCTTGTCCTCTCAGGGTGAGTGAAAGAGGAAGTGCAGATCTTCCTTACCACCTACAAATTCAACAGCCTCTTGTATATGAAATCTGAAACTGCTGCCCACTACAGCTGCTCAGAGGTTAAAACTCTCTTCCCACCAAAGCCACTCCCAGTCCAATATAGCAATGCACTGGAAATACAAAAATCTGCAGTGCAGGGAAAATGGAGGGTCAGTATAAAATCAGGTGACTGTAGTACCAAAATAATTAGTATGTGGAATATTACATGGCTTGCAAGATTTATTTTTCATATTTTATTCAATGGAAACATCAGAGTGAATGTACTTGAAGCTGCCAGAGAATGTCCCAAGGGCTGCAAACTCAGCACGGGGATATATCAGAACTAGGGGCCTTGCTGTGGAATGTGGTTGCAGTGTGCTCAGGTTCGTTGCTTGCAGTATGCTTGCTGTGTGCAGCTTGGTTGCAGTGTGCTCAGGGCCATGATAACCAAAAAGATTCGGCTGTTACTAGACGGTGTAAGGTAGCAATGGCAGGGACAGCTGAACTTATTTAGACAAAATAAAAAGCAAATTAAACCTTTGTTTGGTGCAACAAACTTTCCAAAAGTTTGAAGGCCTTCCATCACTTCTCTAAGGACACTGGATGTTCAGAAGGGACCAGGGATTTTTGAATCCCTGTTTTGGGAGGCCACATTGAAATGTCTCTATAAAGCTTGATTTCCAGAGACAGGGTTGTCACTTTCTGAAGATCAGACTCCTTTAAGGTGTCTTGAGTGATACACTCAAAAATCCAGGCAAAATCACTAGTCACTTTTGAAAATGTAAGCCTAATCAATGACAGTGTGATGGAAACGCGCGTTCTTTGATGTGCACATTGTTCCACTAATACTCCCCTATGGGCAAATATTCCTTTTCTTCTTGCCCTTTCTAGCCATTCTTCTTACCCCAGCCTCAAACCCAATATTTTATTTTATTTTTACACAGTGTTTTATGGATTATTTAGTACCCATTGTGCAATTGTCATTCATATGAATTGTTCTCACTCTCACAGATGATCCTATTACTGTCAAAGAAATGTATGAGCAGTTCAGACAAGGGCAAAGAGACCCACATGCAGATTGGTTCAATTTACTGACCACTTTGAGTGATGAATCTCCAGTTAAGATCTCCCATGTATGGGCTGATGAATGCTAACGGGATGTGCAGACTAACCAGCCCTACCTGTATATGTTTAACCATCTAAATTGCTAATTCTCTAAGGTGACTTTTTCATTGTTGTTTTTAGTTCATCTTCATAGGGCTCTGTATTCTTTTACAGTATTTAGTTTTGCCTAATCTGATTTTTCTTTGCTTGTATAATTATTTAGATAATATTATTAGTATTAAATAATAACTATTGAACCTCTCTAGTCCAGCACTCCTTGGTCCTGCAACATCCAGGGTCCTGCATGATTTTAGTTAGCTGGATGTCCACTTAGCATGGACGTGGCCAACTTCCCTGTAGTCCCATAAAGCATAAAGTTTGTTTACAGCCACCAGCCCTGGCTCTCAGTGCTCTGTGCTATTATTTAGCTCTAATTTACCCCTTAATGTCTTCTAAAAGCCAAGTAAGCAGTGGAAGTGTTGGTAATGTTGCTATAGACAATATTGACCTGCAGTGATTTGGCAGATTCTATGGTTCAGCATCCCTAGCATGCCTGGTCAGGTTCTTAGGATGCCAGACCAGAGATATTCAATCTGTAATGTTGAGAAACAGTTACACAATCTGATCAAGGATTAACATCTTCACTTAAACGATGAGAACAGAGTTATTCAAATGTGAATGTCCAAAATAATTTTGTACCCAAGTTTTCAAAGAATTGGGCTTCAGCTCCTAAGAGCCAACATCATTATAGTAGCCTTATTTTCACACGTGCTGAACCATTATAAATCTCACTCAAAGTAATGAGCATTGCAAAGGCTTGGTGTATTCGAAAATAAATACAGTACTATTTAGAAGCTTAAATGTGTGTTTAGGAGCCTAAATCTGAGCAGTGACATTTCAGTGACAGTTTTGTGTGTACTATGGCTACAGGCCTGTGCCCAGAGAGTTTAGTTTGTTTAGTTTTTCTAAAAATGCCTAGCTTTATGCTGTTACCATGAGCCCATGACGTTACTATTTTCTTGGATATTTTGTATTATTGTGTTTTCATTGGAAAACCAAGAACAAAAATGCACCTCTAAGCAGAGCTGGCCAGCAGAGTGACTTAAAAGAACATCATTGCAGTGGGTTAGCTCGCTTGCTCCTCAGACATGTGAAATGTAGCACTTGAAGTCCTGCCATTGCTAGGTTAATTATGGTGTTGAGTCTGGGTAGCTGGCAATAATGTTGGCATTTGCTACTGGAAGACAGAAAGGAAAAAATTCCCAGGCCATTTGTAAGCCTGATTTACCCTGCTGTTTTTATGGGTGCGTTTACACTGCGATGCTAGCTCAAAATTGCGTAGCTTATTTTAAGCTTATTTTGGGGTAGTCTATTTTGAAATTTGGCACTATGTAGTGCCAAATTTCAAAACAGGCTGCTATTCCAACAAGTCCCTTAACTCTTGTGGAATGAGGTCTGCTGCGTTATTTCGACTGCATTTTGAAATAATGGGCATGCTGTAAAGACGCAGAAGACGCTATTTCGGGATACCAAATGTATCCTGAAATAACACCGCAGTCTGGATGTACCCTATGTTTTACCCTGGTGTAGAACACATGATATCCGTGAAATTATAACGTGAAACTCATCCAACAGGAGCAATGCAGTAGGGAATCAAGCTGTCCATTTTCAATACCAGAATGGTCCTATAAACTATACCTGACCAGCTTGTTTAGCTGGGTGGTAGACCATGCCCTTTTGTTTGTCCTGTGAGGTGATGGCATGCACTTACACTAGAAGTTCTGTCTAAGGTACAGTGATGCCACACAAAATATGTTAAACTGAATGCTTTAAACCAGGTCCGCTGACCCACAGCAAAATCAGTCGGGGGCCACACACAAGAAGCAGAGTGAGAAGCCCCTGACTGAGAAGGAGAAAGTTGCTCCCCACATTCCCCTTGCACACCAGAACCTGGGGGGCCCGAGCTAGTAGATTTTCTGTGCTTCCGTCCCACAGGCATGTGGTAGGGGGGCTTGAGCGCCAGTACAAGCTCCTCAATACTGAGGCTTGGGGGCTGGATCCAGCAAGCTGGAGGCCACATCCAGCCCCTGGGCCTGAGGTTCCCCACCCCTGCTTTGAACAAAGTACACTTCTAACTACTATCTGTCTCTATAACCTGCAGTTCTAGCCTAATTCCTCTAATGACTAGACACTGAGGGTACGTCTACACTAGCCCTCTAGTTCGAACTAGGGACGCTAATGAGGGTGACCGAAATTGCAAATGAAGTGCAGGATATTTAAATCCCGTGCTTCATTAGCATGATCCCGGGCGGTCGCCATATTGGAAACTAACTAGCCCGGAATAACGGCCCGCGTCTACATGCAGAAGTGAAACGGGAGTTCGAAGTAAACCCCTTAACTCGAATTAGCTGTTAAACCTCATTCCACGAGGAATCACAGCCAATTCGAGTTAGGGGTTTACTTCAAACTCCCGTTTCACTTCTGCATGTAGACGCGGGCCGTTATTCCGGGCTAGTTAGTTTCCAATATGGCGACCGCCCGGGATCATGCTAATGAAGCACGGGATTTAAATATCCTGCACTTCATTTGCAATTTCGGTCACCCTCATTAGCCTCCCTAGTTTGAACTAGGGGGCTAGTGTAGACGTACCCTGAGATTGGGATTTCCAAATGGCCTAAGGAAATAAGGCACCTCACTCCTACTGAGTTTCAGTGAGAGTTAGGAACTTGTCTTGCAATGTTGCCTGCTATTTTTAGTTCTGCTTTTAACTGCCTGTGACTGAATTTTCAGTTGATCGCTTCTCCTGAGCAAGCACAAGCAGGTAGGTCTGTTTTGAGTGAAATGTCAGGTGGATTATCACAGTGATGGAACAAAGGGAGGTCCCTGCATTTTGCCAGGGATGAGTCAAGCAGACTGGAGGAACCTGATAGGGTTGAGTCAGAATGGGGTATTGTACATCAGACAAGCAAAAACCTCACATAGAGTTGTTCAGAGGTTCACTAAAATGCAGTCAAGTATTTTGAGCAAATCCATCCCTGAGCATAAAGGACCTCTTACTTCAGCTTCTGTTAGGGAGGGACATACCCCATGCAGCTCTTCCTGAAGTACTGTTAAACTTAATTACTCTCACTTCATGAACAATTAGGAAAGTCAGCCCGCATCTCACCCACATAGAAATGACTGGGATGATAGAGAGAGAAGGTTTCTTGCACAGATTTTCTATCCC